GACTCAGAGCCTCTACCCTGTGCTTCCTCCTCGAAACTTTCGCTCTACCTTCGCTCCCTTCCGACACTCCACTTGATCAGTCACTCCTGCCTGATCTGTAGCTGCTCCCGCCCTCCTCTCACTCACTCGAACACTGCTGTCTGCTCTGCCGACGTCCCACTCCACTCCCACCCGTCGCCAGTCCGACCTTCGTCCGGCTCCGTCGCTCGCACGGCGTGGTGCTGCTCCTTTTCACTCTTGCCGGCTCCGCAGAGTTTTCTTCGCCTTCGGTCGCAATTTACGTTGTGATCTCTCCACGGACCCACCGCACGCCTCGTATCACATACAACCCTCCTTCGTGCTGGATGACTTGTGGTATTTAACGCCGCTCGTTCCACTGTCTTCACTCTTCTCAATGGCTCCTTGCTCTTGAACGTCTTTCACACCGCTCTCGTTGGCCTCGTTCGCCTCACCTATTGTGCCCATCTGCCACGCCGAGAGCAACGAGTGCTACTTATCGTCCACGGGCCTTTTGGATCCGCTACAATTAAAATATTATTAGTACTTCGAGGTCCTATAGTATAGGGAACCGAGCGAGTAGAATACATGCAATTAGCTAAGACGAAATTAGGTGTCAGCAGGTGCGTATAAGCAATCGGTCCCTTAATTAGCTTCATTGGCTTCGGTGCAGAGCTATTGGATACGGAATTGGGATACTATCTCGAAGGATCAAATATTAGGTAGTAAGCTGACTGGCTTACTGTAAGAAATGAGAACAAACGGACAGCTGATATAGAACAGGATTATTCACTTTCTTCTCTAAGGCAGTTTGCTTGTACGTACGTTTGATGAATTCTAGAAAGCAGGTGTGCAGTTCAAGCGCAGCTTGTATTAATGGCAGATTTTTCTTTGAGCAAAGCACGACTTTGTTATATACTTGCCTGATCCGAAAAAGAACTAACATTTCCTTAAATCGGCGATAACTTCGGTCGTACAGCTCCAACGGAAGCGTGGTTTAGCTAGTTTAAAAGCTCTACTTACGTAGCGTCAGCACGATTTTTTATGGACAAATTTCCCGCCGATTGAATTATCACTTTATGAAGGGGTAGTGTTTTGTTTTCGCTTTGACGTCAAAAATTAAGAATTAAACTTTAAATATACTAGAAAAAACGCAAACGGAGCTTAATCTAGTGGTATATCAGGAAAAGCAATTAAATCAATTTTCGCTTTAATTACTCTCAATCCGTGTGCATACAAATTCTCATACGAACTCATTTTAACCAATCGTACCCACCTCAGAATGGACATTAACCAATCATACATGCGAGTTTTTTTTAAAGAAAAAACAGTACCGTATAGTTTTAGTAATAGGCGACGTTTGGTCCTATTTGGTCCTATTAATATACGACATACTGCTTCGACCAATTGTGTTCCAGAAAAAAAACAGTTGGTTACAGTTTACAATGTGGTAATTATAGGATTTGAAGACTCTAATTCCTAGGTTGCACTGTAACGTTAACATCCGCCCCCGTCTCACACACTATACTAAAACTACAAGGTAAAGATGTTGTAGCAGACTCCGGGCTGGATGAAACTCAGTTTTCTGCCTCAGTTTCGTGGCTGCATTTCTTTATGCGCCGCCACAAGCTTTCTCTGCAGTGTCGAAAACGCGCCAAGGGCGGAGACGCAGCAGAAGTTGCAAGGGAATTTAAAGGGAGGGTAATGCAGACAATTGTTGAGAGGGATTGATTTCAAGTAGTTAACACCGGTTAAACCGGTACGTATGTGTTAGGCCTGCGATGAAGACAGTGTTCAGGATATCAACAATGGTGTTGCTGAGCTTGAGCGCTACAAAATTATAGACGAAGAGATCAACTCAGAGGACGACGTTTGAAGCGAATGCAGGGTCAGTGAGGACGATACATGTAGTGGTGACGATGCCGCTTAATAAACTGAAGCACTGCATTGACGTTTGACGTCGGGAAAAAATGTGGACTGATAACTGATTAATAAATCTGTGCTAAGTCAGCTTTAAATCTTAGGATTTGTATGGGTACAGTACTGCACCCCGTTTTCACGCCCTTGGACCTTTGATAAACTTCCGGATGTGATGATCCTGGATCCAAATTGACGATTGTTTGTAAGCTAAAATCTGGTTAATTTGCAAATCCTATATGGTCCACTTGGGATTTGTAGGCCGACGGGTTTCCGCCATTAAGTACGAAATAGGGAGGAGGGGATGAAAGCCGACTCGCTCGGCAACACGAATCAATGCCTGTGGTTTAAGATCCGTGTGCGAAGCACGCGGGCTTAAACCCGGGATCAAGCATGGCTTAACCTCGCTTGGCCCTACGGTATCGGGTTAGTGTCCATGAACGTCTGTGTCTGGGTTTTGGAGGATGATAGAAGTCCCGCCAACTCCTCCACTTTTGTAGATTTGCAGTCTCATGACACCCGTTCCTCATCTTGTAAATGTGTAACAATGTACAGTACTGCACCTCGTTTTCGCGGGGGCAGCTCATGTTGTGGTAATAGGCAGTCTCTATCATAGATAGTGCCTATTACCATAGAGTCTATGCGGTATGACCAACCTCTGATTACGGTTAACTGTGAGCCGACTTGGTACTCATACCCCCTCCCGTAACCAGGATTGGTATTGTTTCTTGTTACATGTAGTACTGTTGCGGAAAGAAAAGTGGGAGACGTTTTCATATCGTTGTATGCATGCTGATCACGTACGGTACGTCGAGACGGTGTTGACACGCACTACGGTAAACATCATTAAGAAACTCGCACGGAGCTCGTAACATCAGCACGATCTTCATCAGCTGGAATGCAGCCTTACTGCGTCCTAATTCTTGTAGCTTTCTTCCTGCGGAGTTGGACCGGGAGTAAATCAACATCAAAAACCTCGAATTCGAACGGGTGGTATCCCTGTGCCGAGTATACCTTCTCCGGTACTGGAAGCTCTGACGCGCAGACCGCAGAGTGTGGAACGTACTCAGCACCCTTGTGCTATCCTGGTGTCTGTGAAGCGCCAAAGTGGGTAGACCAGACTGTCGACATCTTCGTCAAGCGACTTGCGGCCGCTGACCGGGAGACTGCTACCAATGCCTGGCTTCTGCAAAGAGGGCCTGGTATTGCTTCCAACGATCGTAAGCCACGACGTGGATATTTCAACAAATAATCTCGCTTCTGAAATTTCTAACCTTTCCGTTTGGTGTTTCAACTGTAGTGGAATCTAAAATGAGCACCTTGTACAAACAGCTAAAAGGGACCGTGAATGTTTACACGATGGATCATCGCGGCACTGGGCGCAGCACGTTACTGAATCGTCCGGCAGCCCAGACAATCACGAGCGGCTCACCTGGAGGAAAGAACATTGATCCTAAAGAATTTCCTTCGTGTGCCCAAGCACTGGAGCGTAAATACGGAGACCTCGCGTCATTCTCGACGACGAGTGCTGCAAAAGATCTCGTAACCTTCATTACCGAGTTCTCTAATGGCCAGCGCACTATTGTGTATGGTACCAGTTACGGGTCGTTATTGGTCGAACGAGTCATACATCTTGCCCCACCACAAGTTACTGGATATGTTATGGATGATGTTACTTACACATCGAGAACATCTACCGGAGTATTCCCCTACATGTCGTATGCGGACACTGATTATGGCGAAGTTGGCGACGCTTTCATGGGTCTTTGTGCGCAAGACCGTGGCTGTAGTGCCCATTTCAAGAAACCGCATACCTTAACGTCCACACTTGACAATGTGTTGGCCAAGCTTGACAAGAAACCCAACTCAACGTGTGCATCAATCGTGAGTAAAAGTGATGATGAAGTGACTTTACCGTCTCATGCATTGCGCGCTTTCTTGAGCTCATTGCTACTAGATTCAACTATGCGCAACGCAATCCCTCCAGTAGTTTTCAGACTCAATCGCTGTCATCGCAAGGACGTCGACGTCTTGAAGTTCTTCTTCAAATACTATGGAGAAGTCATCCGAGCCTCCAGTGTCGCAGGTCCGTATTACTCCGAGCTGTTGTACTATCTCATAGTCTTCTCGGAGCTATGGGAGCGACCGCAACCTTCGACAGCTGAAATGACACGACGTTCTACAGAGTACGGCATCAACGGGGGTATCTACGTGATGGCTCCGTTGTACTGTGCTTTCTCAAAAGAAAAGTCCAAGGCGTGTAACGAGCGTAAACTGGGCAACTACGATGCACCGGGAATCATCTACGAACATGACAAGTACTGGAACGCGACCGCTAAAATTCCTGTTGACGCCAGTGTTCTGTTGATGAGCAGTAAATTAGACGCTCAAACACCACACAAGAATGCGAAAGAATTTCTGAAAGCACTTGGTGGCGACAACAAGGAGCTAATCACCTTTGATCATTCTGCTCACGGCGCGCTTTTGTGGACACAACTTGACCCCCCAAAACCTTAAGAGCGAAACCTGCGGAATGAAGCTGCTTGTGTCCTACGTCAAGGGAGAGGGCGACTTGGCTAATCTGGATAAATTTTGCGTGGATGAGATGCCTGAACTCAACATGACTCAGGGATCAGAATATCTGGTCTACTTTGGTGTTGCTGACCCATACAACGGCATGTTGGACAACGAGCTTCGGCAACAATTAGACAATGCCTCGTAGAAAGCACCATTTTTTCGGCCATGTGAAAAGATGTGAGACTTTAGTACGGCTGTTTGAGCAATTGAACTCGAGATAAACAAAAATTGCAGCGGGGCTGCCGTAGCTTTAGCGTCAGAGGAAGACGTTTGACTCAAAGAGTCACTGATACTAAGTTCCTTATCCAAAGGACACTTACAGCCCAAGACCAGGGCTCAAAGTTAACACCTTAACTTTTATGCTTCAAAACCAGAAGTGTTTTATTTACTATTATTGCGGCCAAGCCGCCTAGGGGTAAATGTATCTCTTTAACTATCTAGCATAGTTAAACCAAATCAAATGCATAACGTGTGGCTTTCAGCCAACGTACTGAGAGACCTTGTTAACTCTCCAACTTATGTACTGAGAGTTTGTTAACTCTCCGGGTACTTCGTACCCCTGTGTGCTCCACACCATGTAACCCCGTTACACTCTCCCCCACTAAGATGAGAACATTCCGTTCTCGAAACTCTCCTCAGCGAGGTCACGTCTTGTTAAGACGGCGGAGGTTACTACACCTCACACCAGCGTTGTACAGCTCCGTGAGCTCACAAACGCCTACGCATCGTTGATGCCCAACTTCTCGTCGTCGGCCCACGGCCCAATGCTCCAAGCGCAGCGCGCATCTTGCTCTCAAGCGGTCTCAAACCTACGCTCGCGCTCCGCGCCTACTCCAAGAGCTGTAAACCGCTTAGATCAATGCTCTTGACTCATTCGAGTCGTCGACAACAGCTCAGCGGTTGAACACTCGCTTCACAAGCGATAGGTCGGTGGTTCAAACCCACTAGGGCACAGCCCTCTCGTTCCATGAACGATTCTTCACGCTTGGACAAGCTTAAGAGCAATCCGCTTTTAGCTCAGTGGTCAAGCGTTGGCTTTGGAAGCCACAGGTCGGTGGTTCGAACCCGCCAGGGCACAGCCCTCTCGTTCCATGAACTGTTGTCCTTGAATGGACAAGCTTTAGGGCAACGCCCTTTCAGCTCAGTGGTCGAGCGCTGGCTTTGAAAGCCACAGGTCGGTGGTTCAAATCCACCCGGGCGCAGCCCTCTCATACCATGAGTAGTCCGTTCTCGGACTGACGTACGGGCATCGCCCTTGTAGCCCAATGGTAGAGCTCCGGCCTGTCAAGCCAAAGGCCAGTGGTTCGATCCCCGTGCGGGACACCACTTTCGCTGTTACAGCGCATCCACATTTGGATCATGCTCATCGAGCAAGTTGTTTCAAAACAACTATGCGTCTATCGAGACGCTTGTGCCTGAACCTTGTTCAGCACAACACGAAGCACCTGCTTCCTTCGGGACCATGTCCCTAACACTACGAGGTCTCTCCACCTCCTGCTCCCGCTGCGAGCACCGCTCATACGTACGAGCTGGCTGCTGCAGCCACTGGTCAGAGCCTGAGCTCAACTACTGACCTCATCGCTCCCCACTCTAGTGGGAGGCGCCCAGCGCCTGGCGACGCTGTCGCACGCCATGGTGGCGCTTCGGCACATGATGTGCCCGGTCGTAAGCGTCAACGACGTCAGGGCAATCTTGCCGGAGGATAACCTCAAACTCCCATGAGTTCTGTGAGTGAGGGTAACCCCTCCACTTCACTAAGTACTGGGTACGACCCTGGCGTCTACGCCACGCCACAAGGCGTTCCACGTGAAAGTGGAGCTCACCATGCTCATCGAGCAGAGCAGGAGGAGGCCTTGCCTCAGCTGGGCTCTCGCGGGGAGAGTCAGCACTTGCCGGAACGGCGTCTGCGTCCATACGACGCCGGCGTCCACGACCCGAACGCTCACGTTCACCGCCCATCGGTCGATCTCGAAGAGATGATCCACCTTGTGGATAGGTTAGAGCCACCACTGTTGACTCACAACCAGGTCTCGAACCTTGAGCGTCCAGTTGCTCGGCTGAACGTTCAGCTTGCCTTGCTCCTGCATCTCGAGCACTTCGCTCCGCGACCTGTGCTCTGCCACATGCTGTTGATCAGCCATCTGTGGATCCACCACTTGCTGTCGCTCAGCCTCCCGTGGCTCTACCACCTGCTGCCCTGCAGCTGTCCGTGGCCCAGCCACCGTTGGTGCCAACGCCTCCGCGCTCACCTGAGCAGGGTCTTGGTATGGCTTAAGCAAGCCGACATAGAAGACCGGATGCGTGCGCATCTTCTTCGGAAGGTTGAGCGTATACGCTAGGCCCTTCCTGGCCACGACCTTGAACGGTCCTATGAACCGAGGTCTTAACTTCGTCTTGAAGACTGCAGACACTGCATGAGTAGGTAGGTTTTTAGCGTTTAATAAAACTTGGTCACCGACCTCAAACCTCTCAACATTGCTTCTGCCCTTGGCATCTGCATGCTCCTTCTGCGTGTCTTGGCTTTCAGCCATAGCGTCGCGTACTTGACGCATTACGCTCAGTCTCAAAGAGACAAAGTCATCGACTTGCTTGCGAACCGCAACAGGGCTGACATCAGCTAGCCGCTCGGCTATCCCTCCCCCATCAAGCCCTGAGCCACTGCGTGGCGGCGTCAGTGGGACGCGAGGGTTAACCAAGCCGTTCACATAGAACGGAGTGTAGCCTGTCGAGGCGTGCACTGCATTATTTAATGCGAACTCAACGAGTGGGAGCATCTGGCTCCAGCGTTTTGGCGCCTCAGCGCATACGCTTCGGAGGGTATCCTCCACAACGCGATTCACGCGTTCGGTTTGACCATCGGTCTGCGGATGGTCCGCTGTGGACATGTCCAAACGAGTGCCGAGCACTCTGAAGAGGGACGTCCAGAACTTCGCGGTGATGCGCGGGTCTCGATCCGAGACAATTGCCTCAGGCAAACCATGTTGGCGAAAGACTCGGTCTAAAAACAGCAAAGCTGTACCTTCACCATCAATGGTGTCCGGCACTGCCGCTAAATGAGCCATCTTGCTCAATCGGTCTACAAAGACCACTATACCTGTGTTTCCCGCCTTATCCTTGGGAAGGCCAAACACAAAGTCCATACTCATGGACTGCCAGCATCCCTTGGGGACAGGCAAACTCGCCAATGGCGCTGCCGTGCTCGGCGCGACTTTGTCCGTTGACACGTCTCACACGTGCGTACATAGGTGCCGACCCACTTATACATCTTGGGCCACCAGTACATCGAGCTCACCGAGCCATAGGTCTTCTCCCGACCTAAGTGCCCGCCCACGGGCGTATCATGAACCTCATAGAGGATTCGATACTTTAGATCCTCATCATGAGGAACGACTACACGAGGGTTATCCTCAGCGTCGGTGCTGTAGTACAGCAGGCCGCCATCGAGTGAGTATCGATGCAGCCTCGCGCGTAAGCGCCCAGACAATTCCTTGTCAGAGTCTTTAAACTCTTCGCTCCCAAGAGCCCGTAGCAGCGCTACGCACATGTCGTCTTGTGCATACGCTCCGCGTATCAAGTCAGGCACTGACGACATCACTGTCGTGACATGAGCTAACTCGTAGTCCGGCCTGCGCGAGAGCGCATCGGCCACTACATTAAGCCGCCCCGGCTTGTACTTCACCTCGAAGTTATACTCGGCAAAGAAGGAAAGCCATCTTGCCATTCTCTGAGAGAGATGAGGCGACTGTGTCGCAGTGCGTAACGACGCATGATCAGTAAAGATCACAAAAGGCTTAGAGCCTAGCAGGTGTACCCTGAATTTGACTAGAGCATACTTCATTGCAAGTAGCTCTTTGTCATGAACTGGATAGTTCTTCTCTGCAGCTTTGAGCTGGCGAGACTCAAACGCGATCACGCGTTCACGCCCTTCGGCGTCTGCTTGTAGTAAAGCACAACCGATTGCAAAATCGGGAGGCGTCACAGACGACGCTAAACGGACTATCCGGGTCCGGTAGCGCAAGGATCGGGAGCCTGGAGAAGGCTCTCCTTCACAGCCTCAAAGGCTCCGTCGTGCTCGACGTTCCAGCACCATGGTGCGTCCTTCTTAAGGGAGATCTGATAATGGCCGAGCCATCTCCGCGTAGTTCGCACTGTACTTGTGCAAGTAATTGGCTAAGCCTAGCCACTTGCGTAAGTCTTTTTGGTTCTTGGGAACCGGCCAGTTCACGATGGCCTTGACTTTGGCAGGATATGCCCGTAAGCCACGCTGCCCAATGAAGCACCCGAGGTAAGGTATCTCCTCCGCGCCAAAGACGCACTTGTCCAAGTTGGCATACAACTTATTAGTGCGCATGCACTCGAGCACCGCTCGCAAGTGGTCAATGTGGTTATCCACGTCTGACTTTCCGTGCTCGGCACGACTATGGACGAATATATCGTCAAAGTACGTTTGAGCGTACGCCCGGTGGGGCCTAAACAACTGCGTCACAAGACGATTGAACGCTGCTGGTGCGTTCGACAGCCCCTGGGGCATCACCAGCCACTCCCAGTGCATACCGCTCGGAGTACTCACCGCTGTCAGCGGAATGTCGCTCGCGCTCATGAGCAATTGGTAGTAGCCATCGACCAAGTCGAGCGCGCTGTACAACGTACAGCCTACCATGTTGTTCTGCAGAACATCCTTGCGAGAAATCGGCGTTTGCGCCGGGATAGTGGCCGCATTCAGCTTGTTAAAAGCATGAACATTGCGCCACTTGCCGCTCGGCTTTCTGACACAGAACGTGGGTGTCGAGTGCGGAGACTTACTCTCACGCACCATCCCTGCCTCGTGCTTCGCACGGAAGAATGCGTCAATGACGTCACACTGCTCTCTCGGCAAAGGTCCATTGCCTTGTTACGCAGTATTTGGTTCCAGGAACCAGGTCAATCTCATGACACACGCC